ATATTTATAGTTGTTGCATTCTCTTGCTGAACTACTACTCTTGTTGATATATAATCATATTCTTTGTGCCTTTTTATTTTATTTTGCCTTACAATCTGTTTTAAAGGGGAGTGTGTCAATTACTCTTAGGTGTTTAATTAGTGCTATAACTAGTACTCAAATAGTATTTTACACTTTATGTTTCTGTGTGGGAGCAAAATGTGGTTATCTTTACTTAACATACGCTAAATTGATCTTCTGTATATAAAGATAATTGAAAATTAATTGTGATGTGAAGGGGAAGGGGAGAGGGAGTGGGAGAGGGGAGCATTGTGGAGGGGAGGGAAGACACGGTGGAGGGGGAGGCTATTGTGGTCCATAAGCTGTACTTTGGAAATTTATGCTCATTAAATAAATTAAAAAAAAAAAAGGGGGAGTGTGTTGTGGCACAGTGGATTAAGCTGCCACTTGGGACACCCATATGCTGGGTGCTGGTTCTGGGCTACTCCTACTTCCGAAAGCTCCCTATTAACATAATTGGGAGGGAGCAGGTGATGGGTAGAGTATTGAGTCCCTGTCACCCATATGGGGAACCTGATGGAGTCATGTTCCTGGCTTTGTCCTAGCCCAGCCCTGGCTACTGTGGCCATTTGGAAAGTAAATCAGCAGATGGCAGATGTCTCCCTCACCTTCTCTTCTCTCTTTCTTTCTCTCACCCCCACCACCATCTTGCTCTGCCTCTCTCTGCTGTTTCCTTTCTCCTTCATTCTCCCCCTCCTTCTCTCCCTCTGTCACCCTGCCTTTTAAATATAATAAATGAATCTTTTAAAATTCTGTTAAAATTTACATTATAACACTTAGGAGGATTCCTTAGCATCCTAAAATTTGGGAAATACTGCTTTAGAGGTTATTTCATCTGTGTTATGTTTTGCAGTTGAGGAAATCCAGAGATGTTAAGGAGTTTACTGATGGTCACAATTTTAGCTAGTGAAGCCATGATTAGAATTCAGGTTCTTTGAATTCAAAATCTGAGCTTCTTCTATACTCTGAATGGGTATGTGTATTATTCTTTAAATAGAAGATAAAGGTATGGGTAGATTGTCAATAGTGCGTATACTTTGAGTCTACTCTGAGTCTTTTTCTGCTGAGATTAATACAATTTTCTATAATCCATCTTCTCTCTCCAGACCTGTCACCTTTAAGAACAATGTTCATAAAATGGACAAATGGACTAAAACTGAACTCAAGTTGTCTTTCAAATTTTGAGAGAGTAGAATAATTTACAGTTTAACAGTGCTTTTTATTAAGTTTCCTTCCTAAAATCCTCTACCCCTAAAGCATAAAGTCTAAAAAAAATTTATAAAACTTTATGATTCTTCATTAGCTGATTGGTCTTAAAAGACCATTGTTGGGTATAAGAATGCTAATATGCAACATGGTTAATAAAATTTTTTTTTACATATGCCAACTTGAAGCTTTGGGGAAGGGGGAAAACCTGGGATTTGGGGATATGTGGGAAGTTCTCTGAGAGGCTGACTGAAGGTTCTGAAGACAAAGCTTGTGTTGGGCTCTCTGCTGTCACGAGTCTACCTAGCGTACAAAGTAATCTGGGAAGAAAATACAGGTTGGGCTAAAATTGATTTGCCCAATCAAATGACACATTGGTATATCAGGTGAGTGCCACGCATATTCAAATGTACTGTTTTAAATTTCCTGGGGCATTACTTGTTAGAGATGAGCAGTGTGTTGGACTCATCAGGCTTCCTGGTAATATATACCTGGCTCTCTCTTCCTCTCCGACTCTCTGTGCTGCTGATTATACTGTAAGTAATGGCAGCTTTGCCTTGGGAGATTATGGATTTGCTGAAGATGAGGGCAGCTCATCTGCAAAGGTGTGTAAATTTCAAATTGCTAGTTCCATCTCCTTACAAGAGGGCCAGGCAGAGAACTCCAGTGGGAGTGACACCCAAAGCCACAATAATTTCTACAATTAACCTCTAGTTTTTCACATCAGTTATTACGTGTGTTTCCAGGATTATAGACAAAATGAGTGCTTTGCTATATGGAAAATCAAGCACTGTAAAACTGTCTTATTTTCTTCACATGATGTCATAATACCTCTGATAGAAAGATTTATATCTAAAGACTCCTCCTGCCCTTTTTGCTTCCCTCCCTCTCTCCCCATCCCCTCCCCCCCATATTTGGTGTTCTTGCTTTTCTTCATTAATTGCCAGCAGACTTCATCTCAAAATAAGGATAGTGATAGGATAGGATAGTGTGATAGCAGCAAAGGGCCTTAGCCCCTCTTGTATCCATGGTAAGAAACTATGTGTGTGTGTGTGTGTATGAATTTGTGTCTGGAAGAGCTAGAATTCATTGGAAAACTCTAGTCAAGTATATATAAGGATAAAACAAGTTATGTAAGTGAGTGACATGACAATAATTGTGGTGAACTAAACAGCTTTCAGCCTGTCTCAGGAAGGAAGTATCAGTCAACTCCATTTATGGCTGCTATGGGGAGAGATAGTCAGTGCTGTGAAATCTCATTCTTAAGGAGATGGTGAAAATTCTAATTCTATATGAGATTTTCTAATATGTAAATGTTAATAATTAATTGAAGACTCTTTTTAACCTTATGAATGCCATCACTATGCAGGCCAAAAACCATGTCTGAAGGCTACTGGGTCAGCAGTTTGCAAGTCTGAGTTAGTCTGATGTCTTCATTGCAAAGAAGAAAAGGGCTTTGTCTAAGCTTGAGGCATTATTGAGGTGCGGAACTGAGAAAAGAATAAAGGTCAGGATGCTTTCTAGTTCTTTTACCTCTGAAGACTCCTCCAGAAGGATGTATATGCCTGGAATGTATCAGGGTTGTGTTACAGTCATGTTTCCAGTCCTTAATGAGATCATAGTCTGGCAGGGGTGCCAGACTGGCAAAAATATAGCTATAATTCCTTGAGGTGTGTGCAAAAAAGAAACAGCACAGACAGCACAAAGAAGTTGAAATACATTTTATCAGGGAAGGAATAGCATGAGGTGGAGAATTAGGGATGAGTCTGTGGAGAAGATAAGGCAAGAGCTAGGTATTAATTCTTCAATATTTTAGTAAGTCATAAGGTTTTGTTTGTTTCTTTTACTTTGGTTCACCTACTAGTTTATTACTGATGAATTGGGGAGAGGCAAAATTTGATAATAGGTAATGTCTTTTTTAAACTTAAATTTCACATATATTCATTTACTTGAACCTTAAAAAAACTTGATGTGGGGGGAGTAAGAGATAGGAATGTATCAGTTATTAACTCCATTTCATAAATGAAGAAATTGCCACTCAGAGAAACTAATGTGTGGGCTGTGATCATGTCATAGTACTCACAGAAACAGAACTAGACAGGATGCATCTATGTTGTTTACAGTTGCTGCCATTTACATCCTGGGTCCTGACTGTGATACTATCAATCTCCCATCCTATGCCATAAAACCAGTTCCACAATTTGGAGTCCTCAGGAGTCTTTGCCTCCGTTTTTCTGTGAAATTACTAAATTTAAACTGTAATTTTTGTGTTAGATGTCAGCACTTCTGATCTCAGAAGTATTACTGTGTGGCCCAATTCTTTTGTACTTTTGTGCCAAAAAAGCTGAGGTAATGTTTTCTGGGTCCTTGTTAATGACAAGAAAGATGCCTAAACAATTTTGTTAGAAGTGAGATTTAAAGAACCAACTTTACTGATCAGTGGAGCTAAGGTAAGCTCTAATTCAGGGTACATAAATACTCTAGATTTCTTTCATATGATAATATACATTATAGGTTGCACAAAAGGGCCTGGGCTAGGGTTGTGGTAGGAGATGCTGTGTGAGCTCTATCCCATTCCACATGTTGGGGTCTGCAGGCCTAAATTCAGAGACAGGGACACTGTTGGAATTAAAAACCTAGGGGTATAGGAAATCTAATTCTCATAAAGGTGCACATAGTCTAGAAATAGGGCTTGTAAATGGGGCTGTGATTGAGTTCACATAAACAACTTCAGATGACAGTGTGCGGTCTTAGAAATTCATCAGGTGTGGTACTGCTTCTCAGGATAAATGTAATCAACAAGAAGGAGGCACTTTGATTTGGTGCTCACTGTGTCTTTGCAACTGCACTAGGTTTTTCTTTCCATATCATCCAACTTAACTTCTCAAAAAGACTGGAAGGTAAGCATCACCAACACCATTTTCTAGAAATTATGAGACATCCTAAAGGTCATATGATTATTATGTGTTGAAGGTGGCATAAGAATTTTAAGTCTGGTGATCTGGCTGAGTCCAATGAACATGTCATAAGAAACTTTAGCAATCAGAAGGCACTTTCTAGATAACAGATGTGGTTTATTTTCCACATTTTCACCTGGATGTGTGTGTGTATACACTTGTGTGTTTACCCGGGTAAGGTGAGGTATCAACAGACAACAGAGTAGCAAAGTTAGAGGAAGGCCATAAGGATGAATTTACTTGTAGACCAACGTACATGTTGATTATTCTCTGTGGAAAAAAATCTTCAAAGTGGATAAATGAAATTATTTACATTTGACATTGTGTGAGTGTGTATAATGGTTTAGCAAATTATAAAACAAATAAAGAGCCCATTTAGTCAATCTTCAACTTGGGAGAAATAGAAAAATATCAATTTTGCTGCATAACATCTCTCTGCTTCCTTCTCCCACATAGCAGAGTCTTATAGGTAGACATGTTCAAAGGGAACTGGTTTATCACTTTGAATTTGCTTGTTAAGTTGTTCAAACTGGGGCTGACTTGGTGGCACAGTGGGTTAATCCTCTGCCTGCAGTGCCAGCATCCCATATGGGTGCCAGTCCTAGTCCTGGCTGCTCCTCTTCCAATCCAGCTCTCTGCTGTGGCCTGTGAAAGCAGTGAAAGATGGCCCAGGTGCTTGGGCCCCTGCACCCACATGGGAGACCAGAAAGAAGCACCTGGCTCCTAGCGTCAGATCAGCGCAGCTCCAAGCGGTTGCAGCCATTTGGAGAGTGTCTCTGCCTTTCACTGTCTGTAAATCTACCTCTCAAATAAATGAATAAAATATTTAAAAAAAAAGGAAGAGAGAAAGCTCATTAGGATGCATACATTCTAGCATAGCTTTTTAAAAGAAAGTTGGAGATTTTAAACAAATTAAATAGGCTGGTATCATTGAAGGAATTTTCTAGATTTCTTTTATAATTTCTGTTAAACTGTAATCCATCGTTGGGTGTTAATAAAGACTATGAATTAATGTACTCTAACATAATTTTATTGAACAACTATCAAATGCAAGATACTGTGCTAACTTCTGATGATTGTAAATTTAAAAATGACACAGGCTGTATGCAACTAATTGGATTGTGGTTGTAATGCAACACAAAGAAGCCCAGACCATGCAAGGTGGATATTCTAGGAAAGCTAGTAATTTGATGTCCTTAGAAACTACACACACACACACATTTATTTAGCATGGAAATGATTATTATTTACCAGGATTTTTTTTTTTTTGGTATTCATTTATGCCCTAAGCTTTAATGAGCAAGATTGATTTATATGAGTATTTTTCAGCTATTTATGGAATGGCATATGAGTTGCTATGGTGTCGTTTAATTGCAATGAAAGCCCATCTTATAAATGTTGTTGCTTGGGCCATCTCCGAACTGGCCCAGCCCTTAATCCTGCTCTTTAGAGAAGAATGGAGTTTACGGAAATTGGGGAAGGGAGACTGAGAAGGGAAAGACTATTTCTGAATGGAGACTGAGTCAGGCCTCCAGTTTTAAAATGTGGGAAACCCAGAACTAGGAAAGGGTAGATGTGTCGGAAAGATAGGGTAGCATGGGAGAAGGCAGGCCCAATCAAGTTAAGGTAAGAGGGCTACAAACTGCAATGTACAAACTGACAATGAAAGCACCTGGGATAATATGGAGACCAAGTAAGGTCTTGTGAACTACAGATTGGGAAGTATCAGTATGTTCCTAAATCTGTACATATACAATACATAAAATTTGTTCATATTATATAAATAAAATTATTATTAAAAAGTCTGTATTTAAAGGATAAATATTTTTAGAAGTTTAAATGCAATTATTTTAATGGCAAGAGAAAATACAATATCTATTATAAGATACAATTTATTTAATGTAGGGGAATAATAATGTCTTCAATTTGGGCTGGGAAGGCTTTACAAATGTTATATCATAGAATTTCAGGGGAACCAGAATTATTAAGAAATTCAAGTATTATTGTCCAGACTTGGCTCACCAATTCAGAGATTTCACAGATGTATCAATGTAAGTTGAGTGAATGTAGCATAATTGGACAATGAAAAAGAGATAAATAGAATCATTTATCTCTATGATTCGTGGTGTATAATATTGTATGATTAGCATTAGACTGGGGACCAGTCTTACATCAACTTATAATATCTCACTACGTGGAACAATGTTTTCTAACATCTATTCATATAAATTAAAAGGCAGATCTGGTCTTTGTATTCTTAGATAAAGAAGGTTTAAATTATATAACTTACATGGGTTCATAGTGACTCAGTATTAGTTATATGAAACTCTGTAGTGGTTAGGTTTTGGACAAAGCAGTGAGATTCATTAAGAGTCAAAAGTTTAAGAGAGAAAAATGACCTCAAATTATGAAAATAAATTCTTTACTGGTTTTGTGCAAGCATATTAGGAAAAGGAGCTAAAATTCAAATATTATATTTTGTCACCTTATCAAGACAGTTTAAAGTACAATTAATGGAAAAAACTTACAGTTAAACAGTTTAACACATTGTATATATTTAAGAAGCACAGTTTGATATTTAAGTACATGTATAAATGTGTAATAACGATCAAATTAAGGCTATTAGCATATCCATTACCTCAAATATTCTTAAATTTTTTTTGTAGTGAGAACATTCAAAATCATCTCTCCCAGCATTTTGAAGTATACATGTTATTTTTAATTATACTCTTCTTCCTATGCCATAGTTTACTAGAGCTTATTCCTCCTGTCTAACAGTAAACAGATCTTTCTTTGCCTCCAAAGGAAATTCTTAGAGAGTTGGATGTATTATTTTCCAATGATGGAGATAATCTTGTCCTGAGCTGCACTCTTTTATCTAGGCCTTTTTATGTTGGGCTAGGTTAACACTTATATTTTAGTTATCTTTTTTTGTAAAGCTAATATGTCCCTATAGGAATTAAATTCATGTCATTGGCCTCATTGGCACCATGGTGCTATGTGTAAAATCAAATAATCCAGCTTTTGGAATCAATTAGGCCTTTATTGAGCTATTTTCTGCATTTGAGAGATACTATAATTGAATAAGATGATTAGAAAATGGATAATATCCAGAGCTACATCATCCAATATGGTAGCCTCTGGCCATATGTTTCTATTTAAGTTTCAATGTAAATTAATTAAAATTTAACTTATTTTAAATTTAATTTATTATATTAAATTTAAATTAAAAATGCAGTTGCTCAGTCTCACTGGCTGTATTTTAAGTGCTCAGTGGTCGCATGTGGCTAGCTGTTATCCTATTGGACAATACAAAAATAGAACATTTTCCATCATTAGAAAGTTCTGTTGGATAGTGTTATCCAGGAGTCTGGCAATTAAGTGTTGACATTTAGCTGCTATTGGAAGATTTGAGCTGTTTAGCCTGACAAAGATATTCTTGGAATATAGAGTAAGTTAATAGTCATTAGATGGAAGTAGGAGTATGGTAATCCTTCTGCAGTTTCAGAAAGGGCCAACTATGTTAGTCTCAGGTTAAATTTTAGCAGGAATGATTTAGATGAGATATTTTAAAGTCCTTCCTACCTGTAAGAATCTGAAGCCCTGGAATATACACAATATAGAGAAGATGGCAATGTCTTCTCAGTTGTTGATGAAAACATGTAAGACAATGGTTTCTAACATTCTAATGACATTTCTAACATTTTAATGACAACCATATCCAACTGCATAGATATTATTTTATAAAAGTTAACTTTCCAAAACTACATCATTGTCCCTTTTGAGTATAATTTTGCCTTTGGTGTCTGTTGATTGAGAAACCACCAGGAAACCAGCAGTTTGAAATCGCTATGTATATACTGTTAAAAAGTATTTAGTGTTTGTGTGACATTTTAATTGGCCCTAGCTAATTATTGGGTCTCTTTTAGTAACTTTGAGCCTTGCCACGCAGAGGTGTATAGTGGGAGCCACTGGTGTACACATTCATTTTGCAAAGGGGCCAGGGAATCCAGGAAGTTTGACCAGAGGGAGAGGTAGATGAATTTTCAGTGTTCTTTCTGGACATCAACTTTTTATGATTAATTACTTATACTCATATCTTTGAATTTTGCTTCTTTTTTCTGGCCTGTGTCCAGATTTTTACCAATTTGATCTGAAATGAAATTTTTCATTTGATCTAAAATCAGACTGTTGTAGGCTTTCAAACGCTCACCCATAGCTTCTCTTGTCTTATCTTCAGTACCCTTAAGATCATTTTATTAAATATAAAGCCAGTTGATCTCCTTTATCTTACATGCCTATTGGGTTAAGTGATTTGCACACATTGTACACCTGGCAGGTCCTTCAGTTATGAACATTTAAGCATGAAAATCTTCAGTTCTTTTCTTAGTCATGCAACCTTGAATTCCTTGAGAACGTGATTGTTTCTTTCTTTTTTTCTTTAAATCTACATTAATAACATAGGTCTGTGAACATCTCATTGAGAAGGATTAGCCCTTAGGTAAAGAGGGATTTGGATTCTTGACTTCTGCTCATCAGGCCAGGATGGGGTGTTCAGGACCATTGGTTAAGGTTATGGGAAAGTTGGTCATCCTGTGTGTAATCCCATGAGGACAACAAAATCTGTTTGGGAAGCAATTATGAGGGTTAATTTTCTTTTAATCTGCTTTATTCTCGGGACTGGATTCTGGCAGCAGGCAAACAGATTGCACAGTCCAGCCCAAGCAGCCTGCATCATGGTTCAGTGAAACCCTAAATCCCTTCAATCACTTTAAGAACAATGTTTCTTTCAGAAGTGCCAAAGGCACTGTGTTGTAGAAATGAACATTCAGGTCATCTTAGCTATAGGAGTAGCTTTGTTTGTATCTAGAGAGGAAATATTTTTCTTCTCATGGCTCTGATGTGGGCTAGGAAAACAGTCATTTTCTTAACTAACTGGACTACAAAGACATTCAGCTGAGGAAGCTAAATCATCCTTAAGTTTCTAGTGTTAACAACTTATTAAAAATGGAAAGTGAAAAAAAGTACAGTGTAGTTTAAGGCCCATTTATTGAGTGCCTACTCCTTGGCAGGCCCCAGAAAAACAGTGTTCTTTAATAGGGAATCCAAACAAGTCAACATACAGTTACAACATAGGGCAATAAATTTGGCAGTAGACTTAAACAGAGATCCCCCATGGCAGCAAGGATGTGAGGGACCCAACCCAACCTGTGTCACTGAATGGGGAGCTAGGAAAAAGGAAGCCTTTCTGGAAGATGTAGTACTAATTGTGATTTTTTTTCAAAGTAAAAGAGATGTAGTTGGGGGAAATTGAGGCCATAAGGATATGCTATGATGTGTGCAGGGTGCTAAAATGTGTTCTGTTCTGATAGATCACATTAGCAAATTTTTATGCGTCAGATTTAAAAACTAAGTATGTCAGTATACTTTCCCTGAATTTCACATTGATAGTCTCTTCTGAAGCCCAATATACCAAAGAAAAATAACAGAAACAAAATACATACAAATGTACTCATATACACATTTTTCAAATGTTAAGTAAGTCGGTATTCTGAAAACAATAAAGATAGTGCTTGAAAGAGGCTTGGCTAAGGTAAAAATTAAACCCACCTCCCAATAATGTAGAGCTGCAAACTTGTCAGAGACACAATGAGCAAAGAAAGAACTTTTGAGTTCTCATCAACTTGAAAAAACCAGGAATTTTCTTCCAACAACCTCTCAGTTGACGTAAGAAGAAACACTTCTCATCTTGATGATCTTGGTGCAGAAATAAGTGTGGAACCAGGAGAAAGAACAATTGTTTCTTCATTTAAATGGGGTAGCTTTGTTGTTTTGATGATGGGCCTTTGTGGCAGATAGCTAACCACTTCCATGCTTAGTTTCAATTTTAGCTTGCTGCCCTTAATCTGCAACATAGTCTTGGCCTGAAACACTGCCAAGAAGAAGAAGGAGAAAAGGTGATCTGTGTAAATAGAACTCCATCCTGTTACTTAAAGGATTTAGACATTTTGGTCCTTCATTAGCAAACCTTTTCAAGTGTGGGTCCCAGCACATGTGTAAAGGGCCATAGGCTTTTCTAGGGTTATTTTTGGATTTTGAACAAATTTGACAATTTCTACAGCATGAGTATCTCATCATTTCTTTAAAACCTTAGGACTAGAAATACATATCACTTTAATTCCCTTTGTTTCAGACTGAGATTTTCATACTGGTCAGAAGAGAACATTTCCCTAAAGCAACAAATTTTTATAAAGCCATGGATAATTTTTGTTTTCTTTCTTAGCACAGCATGAGGAGAATTGGAAAACTCTTATGAGAACTGATAAAGTGTACAGAATATGTTCCTTGTTTCTTGGCAAAAGAAGCTTCTTCCATCATAAGTGCTGTGGTTGAAAGAAACATAAATCCATCCCCCAAAGAGTCCAAAACATATTTGGATTCAAGTGGGCAAGCCCCTTTCGTGGTTCTGCTTGAGTGGGGTCCTGTGGTTGGTTTGGGTAACGAACACTTTCCCACAGTGGAAGGCTTAAGGGTTTCTTTAAGTGGGTTCAGTATGCTATGCCTTTTCATTCAAAGATTTTGAAACCAAATAGGAGGTTGCCTTTTGAGACTGCTCTGGAAAGAATGTCTTGTGGTGAATATCAAACCACCTGAACAAACAGGAGCACCATGTGCGTCTCCCCTGGAGGGCTTTCTCAGGGTAGAAGGTGGAGAAGCCACTCTCTTCATCTCTAGAAATGCTGAGAGGAGTTTATTTTCTTAAGAAAGATATGACCCCATTTGGGCCTGCCTGGTACCCTGTCTAAATCTTTGGAGAGAAAGATGTGGCAGATCTGCTATGAATCACAGAGACTGACTTCAGGAGGGATTACCATGCCAGACTTGGGAATGAGCTATTAGATGCCATTAATTTCTCACCAGTCCTATTTTGATTGCTGCAATAGAAGCAGAAACAGGAAAAGTATAATGGACCACTGAATAAGGAAAAGAATACAGACTGCTATTGATTTGCACATCTTTGAAAGAACAGGGAAAGAAGGGGAAATTATATAATAAACAAGATTGATCTTTATAACTGAGAAACTTCCTAGGTTAAAATACTTTTTCAACCAAGTTACTATGGCATTTAGCTACAGGTATTCAAATGGATCTGCACTCTAACCCTTCAGGGAATGATATTCTTTTTAAAAATTAAAAAACAAAAATGTAAACAAAGTCTGGGCCATGACAAAACTTGGGGTTCAAAACTCAATATGAGTTGGCCACGTGGGTGGCAGGGACCCAAGTATTTGATTCATCATCTGTCGCCTCCCAGAGGTGCACATTAACAGGAAGCTGGCTCAGAAATGGAGGAGCGAGGCCTCACCCAGATACTCCAATCTAGAATATTGGCATCCCAAGTGGTATCTTAACTGCTGTGCCAAATGCCAATCATAGGGAACAGTTAGTCTCAATCTGGGGTTGGGATACTCCTTGAACTAGATTATGTGAGAAGACTTTGCAGTAGGCTATAAAATGGCTCCCCAAAACATATTTACCTCCTAGTCCATGGAAAACATAAATGTTAGTTTATTTTAAACAGGATTTTTGTAGATGTGATTAAATTAAGGATTTTGAGATGAAAAGTTTATCCTGGATAATCTAAGTAGACCCTATAAACTCACAGGTACCTTTATATGAGAGAGGCAGAGGAAACTGTACTGATGGAAGAGGAGGTGGCAATGTGACCACAAAGGCAGATGTTGGAGTAAGGTCAAAAGTCAAGCTATCTGAAGCTACAAGAGGCAAGGGATGCATTTTCTCCTAGATGAGGCCTCTGGAGGGGATGCAGCCTAGCAGATAGCCTGATTCTGGCCTACTGATACTGATTTTGGACTTCTAACCTCTAAAACTTGAGGCAATATCACCAAGTTTGTGATTATTTTTTTACAGCAACCCAGGACACAAATGAAATCCTGAAATATGACCATTGATAAGTTACTAGGAGCTTAGTGCCATCAATGAGGAAGTGTATAAGTTGGGGGAAGCTGATGGCAATGGTTTGCTGGAGTCTAGAATCAGGAAGTAACAGGCAGCAGAGAGGACTGACATAACAAGAAGAGAGAAGGTAAGGTGTGCTGAGGGATCAGGTAGGTTCATGCACATTGAATTCTGGTAGTTTTCACGTAGTTTGGCCCACATCTGTAGGATTGGCAGGAGGCCCTGAAGTCACATACATCATAACAGACAATGAATCTGTGGAGCCTTGTGGAATATAAAATAATGCCCTCTTTTTTAAACTTACCCCTAGAAGGAGGTGTACAACAGCAGTACAAGGAGGGAGGCTGGAATGCTCATACCACCTTTATCCTTTATTTTTATTTTTTTTTTAATTTATTTGACAGGTAGAGTTATAGACAGTGAGAGAGAGAGAGAGAGACAGAGAGAAAGATCTTCCTTCTGTTGGTTCACTCCCCAAATGGCCATTGCTTCGTCGATCTGAAGCCAGGATCCAGGTGCTTCTTCCTGGTCTCCCATGCAGGTGCAGGGGCCCAAGCATTTGGGACATCCTTCACTGCCCTGCCAGGCCACAACAGAGAGCTGGATTGGAAGAGGAGCAACCGGGACTAGAACCGGCACCCATATGGGATGCTGGTGCCATAGGCGAAGGATTAACCAAATGAGCCACGGCGCTGGCCCTACACCTTTATACTTAATGATTAAATTTTGTCCCTACTATCTTCCTCTATATTCTTTGCCAACGAAAAGCACAGGCAGCAACCTTGATGCTTAACAAATTAGATTGAAACAACTTGATCCATAAACTGAGTTCATGACTCTACAATGCTTGTGTATTTTCCTCTAACTTTTCTGCTTTGTAGGCTTTCAAATAGCATTTATTTTCTCCTTTCTTATTTAAGTGGTTTATTGTTACATTAGAAGAATTGGTGTTGAATTTTTTAAAATGTGCTGTGCTGCACTTTGAGTTGTTTTAAAGGAAGTCATAATATTAATAACTGCCATTGATGACCTGTGTCTCTATCTATAATGAAATCATTTTAAAAATGAAGGCCTTCCAGCAAACAAATTTGAGTATTATTTTGAGAGATCTCAGAGAAGATTTAGGGAAGAAAGAAAGCTTAAATGAGTGAGGTTTGCAACCTTTCATATTGTGAAGATACACTCTAAAGTGACTATTTCAGTTCTTACACTTTGGTACATTCATTCACTCATTTCTTTGCTCTTCGACACATTCACTCATTCAAGTGCCTGCTAAGTACAGGTACTGTGCCAAGTCAAGGATTACAAAGCCCGAGAAACCTCAATCCTGTCCTTGAAAGGTTGCCAAGGCTGTGCCTTGGTGGTCTGCTCAGCTTTCTATTTTTTAATTAGAATTTCCTTGCTTTCTTCATATAACTACAGACTTCATCTCTCCCTACTGTGTTTTACATAAGTCACATTATATATTTACATTATCTGCCTGGTCCCTGAAGACAATGGAGTATTTGACCCCTTACTTAAATTCTATTTGGAAAAAACAGTTTCTGGAGCTGTCCTCATTTCAAACTTTAATTCCTGACTCATTCTCAACTTCCCTTAGCAACTGAAGACATGGAGTCTGGGAACCAATACTAGAATGGGTGAGTTGATGTAAAATGCATCACATCTGCTGAATTAGGATACAGAAGCAGAATTGAATGTCCTGGTTGGGGACTGGAGAATAATAACAAAACTTCAGCATGCTAAAAAGTCTGATTCTGAGTCCTGAGACAAAAAATCATTATTCCTTAGGGGAGAACTGGAAGTCAAAATTTCTCTTAGAATACCATAGGCAAGAAAAATCCCAGATGTTTGGCACTGCGCTGGTCACCTGGACACCATAAGAACAATGAAGAGCAAGTTCCTGAGGGGCTTCTTATGACTCAAGGCAAACGGGTAAAAACAGTACTGTCAGATAACAAACTCCAAGTTATCTCAGATGGGATACAAGATGATTGACAGCTATGTGAATTCAAATTTGAAAAAAAAAAACACCTGTACTTGTTCTAATCGTTCTCAGAGCAGTGCCTGACACATAGTAGGCACTCAAAAATTTTGTGCTTTTGGAAATGAATGAGGTAGGGCTCTGGGTGGAGCTCATTTCTTTTTTTTCTACAGAGGTTTATTTCTAAAAGGCAGAGGGCTAAACAGGGCAACTTATTCTGTCCCAAGTCTTGTGCAGTGGGAAAAAAGAGAAGCAAGTGGCTTGATTTCTCTGATTTTTAGTTCCTCTATGTATCATGAAAGATAAGAGAAAATTCCTTGAGAAGGGTGCTGCAAATTATGACTTTTAAAGTAAAGATGGTAAAATTATGTGTGCACATTAAAGGACAAAATTGCTATGTCAATTGGAAACCTATTAGAGCACAAAAGAGGTTTTGTAATTGTCTTTTATAATTGTCTACCTAGTTACAGGGTTTGATAGATCAACCCCATTTAGAAAGAGTCACCATTTAATAACAACCATAATAATAATAAGTAATGGTAGTAATAGTAACAAAAGTCACTAATATGGAGGGCCACTTCTCAATTATTATGTTAATCTCTTTGTGAACATTTATTGCTGTATTTAAACCTTATAGCAGCCTTGAAAATAGAAATAGCTATTTAACTTCAGTACATATATTAACTGGGACACAGTGTGATTATATAATTTTTTAAGGCTATATAGCTAGTAAAAGATAAACAGGTTATTGTGGTGTGTGTTGTGGTGCAGCAGGTTAAAACACTGCCTGGAACACCTGTATCTCATGTTGGAAGGCCTGCTTTGAGCCTAGCAACACTGTTTCTTATCCAGCATCTTTCTAATACTCCTGGGAGACAGTAGATCATGGCTCAAGTACTTAAATCTCTATCACACATGTCAAAGAACTGGATGGAATTCCTAGCTCCTGACTTTGGCCTGGCCCAGCCCTGGGTGTTGCAGTCATTTGTTGAATAAATCAGTGAATGGAAGATCTCTGTCTCTCTGTTTCTGCCTCTCTGTTATTATGCCTTAAAAACATATAAATCAATCTTTAGAAAAGATAAGCAGGTCATAAAGGCAGGTCAGTTTTGTTCCAAGTACGTGATCTTTACTCTTAATCTCTTTCCCTCCTCCTCCCATATTTGTAAACCAGGGAGATGAGCACCTTGTTGGTGTCACACAATTTAAAAAGGGTTTGTATAGGGTTGTTATAAGCCTTCAGACAATTGTGTGTACAATAATAGTATGGTAGAAATAGATATTGTCCCCGCTTAACAGAGAAGGAAACTGACTCAGGCAGTTTAATTTCCTCTGTGGCCTCACCAGGTCTTGAACTGCAGTTCGTGTCCCCTTGACTACATAGTAACTTTCTCTATATCACGTTAATGGATTTGCTATGTACTGAGTATCTCTTCTCTGTGAGGCACCATACTTGACACTTTTTTAAAAATATCACCAATTTTCAGTATCCCACAATGGAGATATTTTAAGTTGATGGGGAAACATCTTCAGAGAGTAATTGATCTTTCATTAAAAGTTAGTAAGCCTGGCTCTGTCATAGTATTCATATCCTCTTATATAGCCATGATAAGTGTTTATTTATATGACATTGGAAAAGTTACTTAGGAGTCCCTTATACAGTTTAGTTCCTCTCCATATATCTGCTGCAAGAATAATGATTCTACAATTAGGCATTTATTTATCTTTTTGGTCTAAAGACTTCCCCACTCAGGTGGGATTAACTTGCTATGGAGATAAAGATGAGGGAGAGCACAGAGAAAAAGAGTTTCACCTATGTGAGTCCTCAAAGGGGAGCTCTAGGGAACCAGAGGCCGGCAGAAGACAAGGCAGTGTTGGTAAAAGTGTGAAAATGCCAAACTCTGCAGGTAGACATATGGGTTAGAGCAGTGTTTCTCAAACATGATAATCAGCTAGAGGCTGCTTAAAAAACAGAATGAAGGTCCCTGAACTCAGAGTTTCTGAATCAGCAGCTCTGGTTTGCAGTTAGCGAATTTGCATTTCTAACAAGTCTTCAGGCCAGCGCCAGGGCTCACTAGGCTAATCCTCCGCCTGTGGCGCCGGCACCCTGGGTTCTAGTCCCGGTTGAGGCGCCGGGTACTAGTCCCAGTTGCTCCTCTTCCAGTTCAGCTCTCTGCTGTGGCCCAGGAAGGCAGTGGAGGATGGCCCAAGTGCTTGGGCCCCTACACCCACATGGGAGACCGGGAGGAAGCATCTGGCTCCTGGCTTCGGATAGGCGCAGCGTTGGCCATAGCTGCCATTAGGGGAGTAAACCAACGGAAGGAAGACCTTTCTCTCTGTCTCTCTATCACTGTCTATAACTCTGTCTGTCAAATAATAATAATAATAAAAATAAAAAAACAAGACTTCAGATGATTTTGAGGTTGCTGGTTTAAGGACCACATTCTGAAGACCATGGATCAGTGGGTACAAAGAATCGTGAGGTAATATGGCATCTGAATGGGGAGAAATGCCTAGTTACCTGATGTCTGGTCACTTTTCACTGGGAAGGAGGTCATATATTGTATACAATTTTGGATGGAAGAAGACAAATAGAGAAAGGGAGATAAAATAGGAATTTAAGACTTTACTTACATGAATACTAAATATCTATGGTTGTCTCTATTTTTTATTTGTGAGATGGTGGGGGTTAGAGTGGGGTCAGGGAGTAGGGGGAAGGAAGGAGAAAAGAAGGGAGAAAGAGAGCAACTGCATTGCTATCTGCTGTTTTTTTCTCAGATATCTGAAGCAGCTGAGGCTGGGCCAGGCCAAAGCTGGAAACACAATCCAGGTTTTCTATATGGATGGCAGAAACCCAGTTACTTGAGCTGTCACAAGGGTCTGCATTAACAGGAAGTCCGAATCAGAAAGCAGAGCCAGAAATCAAACCCAGGTACTCTCATATTTTAGGTAAGCACCTGAACCACTAAGTTAAATATCTGCTCCCCTATCTCTCATTTGTGTAATGTTGACTATATAGCTAAAAAGGAGAATATAGTAAAGAAATAACAGTAAATGAACATTTTCCCCCATTAGTATGAATTTAGATGATACAAAAAAGTATACAGAACATGCATTTAATATGCATATTATAAGTGACTTAGAAATGTACACATACACACATATGTGTGCACACATACTATTCTGGATTGAAGTGAAACAGTCATTTATTGATTGAAAAATTCCAATCTCTTCATTTTGTGGATAGTCTACATAGTTTACAAAATTTCAGGGAATGAACCTTAATTAAAATGCATTTGTGTAGAATATAGGTGAGTTTTCGGATTTGGTCCTAAATTTCAAACATTTTGCTTGATCATTTGATTTTAAGATACAAATGATGGCTCTGAATTCTTGGCTGTTTATTTCCTAAATCTGAAGAGTTGTGTACTTAATAACTGATGATGTATGATGAATTTTCAGTGAATGCCTCTGGGTAGACTGTTCTGACTTGCAGCTCAGAATGAAGCTGGAACAGAAAGCAAAGGAGAAAGTTGCAAATCCCTTAATGAAATTTTTAATAAAAGCAGCTTTCAATGCATGTTTTTTTTTTTCAAACCATTGCATCCGACTGTTCCTGAGAATCCACATAACTGATCAACAGAGTGAGTATTAAGAATGCAAAAAGACAGCAGAATTAAAGAGAGTGCAAGTGAGGGCCAGAAACTAGCTTTGAGCTTGGATTAGGAAATCTTCATGTTGGCGAGTTCTGGAGACTTTTTGGGATTCTGAGCTCTCAATTCCTTAACCTTGAGGAGTTAAACTGCCCTGGAACTCTGTACTCACCATAGCCCCAACAGCACTACATCACTTTTTTTATTTATTTTTTATTTGAAAGGCAGAGTTATGGAGAGAGAATCTTCCATCTGCTGGTTCACTCCCTAAATGGCTGCAATGGCCAGAGCTAGGAAGATCTAAAACCATGAGCCAGAGGTCTTAAAGGTCTTTCACGTGCATACAGGGGCCCAAGAACTTGAGCCATCTTCCACTGCTTTCCCAGGCACATTAGCAGGCTGCTGGATTGGAAGTGGAGCAGCCGGGACTCGAACTGGCACCCATATGGGATGCTAGCACTGCAGTTGGCGGCTTTACCTGCTATGCCTCAGCACTGTCCCCACCACATTACTGTATTTCTAGTTTCCTTAGCGAGAGGAAGGGAACTTTGTGTAAGAGCACTAGAGGGACTAATTCTGACAGGAGAGTGGTGGCAACTGGAATCAATGAGGAAGAAAGCTGTGTGTGGAAGAACTGAGCTTCTTGATAGCTAAATCATCAGCTTCGCTTCCCTCCTGAGATGTGTTTACTTTCCACTTCTGGGAGAGCCTTTTTTCCAGTTGGCACTGAGGTCACCTGATGAATTTCATTTCTGTTAGTCAGCAGACTCTCCTAGGTGAGAGGCATAGTAAGAAAGTTACAGGTTCTCATCAACAAGATATCTGATGACACCCAGATCCCTAAACTGCTCTTACCTCTCATACTATAAAAAAAAAAAAAAAGGCAGAAATCTCCTTGAAAGAAGGGTTAACAACCACTTTCTTCCTTTTCCCTTCTTTTAAAACCATAAATAAGGGTTTTAAGCCTTCCTTAGAGCCAAGGCACAGGTGTGCATGAGGCTCTCACAGGTACCCGTGCTATTCCCTTAACAAATATAATTAAATAAAAATAAGCTGTGGCAAGTCCACTGAATAAGAAAGACAGTGAGAGCAGGCATACTTGTCGTCTCAACAATTATTTGCAGACTTCATTAATAAATTCCCCTCTGAAGTAGCAATCAAATTCTTCCCCTTGGCAAGATGTTTAACTGCTATACAGAAATAGCTGTAATCAGACCAAGATGAGAACAGAGGGAGGCTTACTTTATATACTTCCTCCTGGAGTTTTGAACAAGCCTATGAGGAAATAGGCAAGGCAGTTACCCCACCAGTTCTGTGTATGTGCCCATCAGGAGTCCTCATTCACTGACACACCTACTCTCTGTGCAGTTGAAAGTTTCTCTTTGCCCAATTTTGGAATCTTTTGTGTTTTATCAAAAACATAGTGAAATACCCTCTCTATATGTTGACATGTAAAGGAGGGGGTGAATCTCAAAAGACCCCACTGAGGTATAATTACTTGCAGGTTGTTTTATAGGGAAGGGAAAATACAGGGGATGAGGAGAAAAAAAAAAAGCTTTTTCTCCCCAGAAAGGATTTTGTAGCTTTTGACACTGTTAATAATTTGTGTGGAAAAATAATGTTTTCTTGTGTGTTTAATCCTGTGCCAAGGCAGCTGCTGGTGCAGTAGCATTCTGCAACAAATTAGAGGGCAGTTAAAGTGAGATTTTCCACCATCAAGAACAAAGCGAGGCCAGTTAGCATGAGGACAGCTTGTTCTAGTTGCTAATGTGCTTAAAAACTTGCTGCACATAATTTAAAACAGCTTTTGTGTGAGGATGCCGCAGCTCTGGTTTCTGAGGTCAAGTTCTAATTCCAAATCAAATGGAAGCAGCTGAATTAGAAAATGACAAGTTGTGCACTGACATTGTCTGCCCTGGCTACAGAAATAATTTTTTTCATCATTGCTATTGATACAAAAGTTAATTCCCCTCAATATTAAAATATGTAATGGATGACAGCTGACTGAAATATGAAGCCACAGCCCCTGTTTACTGAGGGAGCACTCTCAATGACTGTGTGGCAGCTGTAACACACTTACAAATTATTTAAAGATGTATTACCTTTGCTGGTAAGGAAGCAGATGTTAAAAAGATTCAGTGCCTCCTAAAAGTTGATCTGAATCTCAAGAGCTCTAATCAATGTAGCTTTTTATTTCACCAGCTTGGAATTAAATGGGATTCCTTGGTTGAAATGCATTGGAAAAGAGCATGCTGGAGTCCAAATACCTTTCACTGTCTAGAATTTAAAACTTTCATTTGTAACTTGGATAGGCTGCAGAGAATTAAATCCAGGTGGGGGAGAAGTCAGAGAAACAGATTTTTGTTGGATTTTTGCCTGCTTAACCTTGGGCTATGTACCCCTCAAGTACTGAGAGGTTAGAACCCATATGAGCAAGGAATGAGGATTCAGCCCCTAAATTCACATTCGTCAGGCTGCATATTAAGCTCTTCTTAAAGACCACTTGTACTTCTGAGAACCTCATTAATGGGATTTCAAATGTTATAGTTGTTAAGTATCCTAGAAAATACTAATGAAATACAGTAAGGTCCAAAGAAGGCCTTGAAAAAGCCCTCAGGGATCAGAATGTCTTGGGAGACTATACACATGAAGAAAAATGAGAGGATTTTGGTTAAAATAAATTAAGGTAAATAGGATTTTACATGAAGGAAGTTTGAGAAAACCTAATCTGTCTTCCATTCATATTATACCATTAGCACCAGGAGTTGGAAAATTATGCAGGTTTTTTTTTCTTTTTGGCTATATAATGTAAGATATGGACTTACTTTGATTCATTTTCCTTTAATAAACATACAAATTGGCCAAATATTTAATATTTGAAAGCATTTATTTCTGATTTGTAGTGAAATGGAAATGTGGGATTGGAGTGTGGGTAAGGCCTCTGAACACACAGGAAAACTGAGCAGCTGTTTTATTTGGTGAAAGATTATTGAATATAGTTGTGCAGTTTGTATACTGCACAATTTAGGGAGCACTTTTCAGTTTTTAGCGTCTGTATTATTCAACACATAATTTGTATGGCTACCCATGGTCATACCTGAATGGTGTGATTATAAGGTACCTGGACAAACTCATTTGTCTACATTCTTCACTATGGACAATCACAGTATCTGATTATTTTGTCTAAGTATGTTTTTTAAAAAGATTTATTTATTCAAAAGTCAGAGTTACACAGGGAGAGAAAGAGGCAGAGAGAGAGATCTTCCATCTGCTGGATCACTCCCCAATTGGCTGCAACAGCTGGAGCTATGCTGATCCAAAATCAGGAGCCAGGAGCTTCCACCAGGTCTTCCCATGCAGGTTTAGGGGCCCAAGGGCTTGAGCCATCTTCTGCTTTCCCAGGCCATAGCAGAGAGCAGGATCGGAAGTGGAGAAGCCAGGACTTGAACTGGCACCCATGTGGGATGCTGGCACTGCAGGTGGCGGCTCCACCTGCTATGCCACAACGCCAACCCCCAAAATATGTTTATGAGGGATAAGATTTATATATTTTAAATATGGGACATTATCAGTGAAGAATTATATTGCAGTTAGCTAAAACATTCACCTTCCCATACTTTTTGTGGTCACTATAAAAAAATCAGGATACTAAAAACAGAATTTAATTCAGATCAGTTGTTATGGTGAAATAAGAAGATATTAGGAGCTTAAAGGCCTAAAAAGAAGCATAATTTGTATCTTATGCATCAAAGAGACTGTGAGAGCATTGAGCACACAGGTTGAGAAGATGTTGAAAGGAGAAAGAAAAAGCTTGGCATATTTCAGAATTTTTGATAGGGTTTACCTACTTGCAAAAACACATGAATTTAAAATTTTCAATTATTATTATCTCCAGCTTAGTAGGAAAAGGCCTGCAAAAACATTTTAGAACAATTTTCTTTCTTATTCAACTTTTATAAAAGTTAATTGTCTTCTGATTCAGATTTAGCATTCCAGTAAATAACTATAGGACACCTATTATCTAAAAGATGTGATTGAGCAAACACGATGGCACATGTCATAGTTTTGGATCTCAACTTGTAAGTAAGAGACCTAAAATATACTAAGCATGTTAACATAGGTACAAAGAATTCTGCAGACTGGAGCAGATAGAGATCACATATGATTGGGATGCAGGCAAGATCAAGGGAAGTTTTGTGGTGAAGGTGTTCTATTAGATTGTCTCAGTGGATAACAAAATTAGTTCCTGGGACTCAAACAATATTCCAAAGTGCTAAATGTACTGAGAAGTGTAAG